TTGGGCGAGTGGTCATGGAATTCCCCACCGACACACACACTCACACGGCCAGAGACAGAATGAGCCGTTTTAATCCTGCCATTTACTTTGTGCCACAATGCTCGTTCATGTTTAATGTCCTTTCATTTCGTATTTGACTCGAAGCTGCTTTTGTTTTTTTGATTTCCTGTTGTTTTCGTTTGCTATTTGTTGTTTTTGTTTTGGTTTCTGTTGTGAATTGTTTGGCCTGCCTGCAATTCAGCTCATGCTGTGCTAAAGAGGCCTGGTTTTGCTGGTATTTGATAATTGCTTTTTGAGGTTTCTGACAAGATGGTTGGCAGGTCTCCTGGAAAAGTGAACTAATCAGGTACGAGATAAGATTTTTAATTAATACGATACTAAATAGTGTTGGAAAATATTTATATGGTGTGTTTTCAACAAATGTTTACTTCAAGCAGAGCACAATTTGGCAAATTATAATTTGGGTTCGATTCATAATCCAAATTGATATATAGGGATATTTCCATTAGTACCTACACACACGAATTAGTACAGACTGTAGTTATTACAAATTCAAGGAACTGATTAATTATAGCAAATGCACATTAATTACATGAATTAGTGCTAATGAAGGGCCCTCCAACATCACACCTGAATAAAAAGGGCAAAAAAGATTACAGTCGATTTAAAGATTACTCTTCAAAATTAGTTAAAAGACATTGACACCATATCTGGTTAGGTATCTATCTCTCAATATTTGTATATTTTATTATATTTTTTCCGTTTCAATCATTAAAAACTAATATTATATTTAAATTGAGAATACAAAATATTATTATCTTTAAAAAAAAAATGATAACACATTTAGATAAAGAAAATAAACATTTTATTTATAAATTAATACATTGTATATTCCCCTAGAAAGGGGAAAACAAAAGTAAACTAATGAACATTTATTTGAAAAATAATGCAATAATAACGTGTTATATCGTTTTACCGTCAACTCCATTTGGGGTATTTTTAGAAAGGGGAAAGGGCAGTCTGGTAATATACAACAAATATTCATTACACTAAATGTGCATAATTTATATTGATGCGAATTTAAACGCTTTAATTATTAGAGCTTTTTGTTTCGATTTTCTGCCAAACACTTGGCATAAAAAACATTTTCACGACTAAACCGATGGAAATAATTTGAAAATAATTCCACTGCGTCTATTGTGGGGCCCGGCGACAGCCGTTCAAACGCTGTTAATGAATTTTGAAATTTAAATCAGCTCACATTTCTATATAACTCAAATAACCTGCGGGCGAACAAAGAATAACCCTTTACAGCCATTAAATCAACGAGTTGTGGCATTATTAAATGAAATCATTTTTAAAGTTTTTGCACTCACTTTGTGTTTCATTTTTTTCTATATGAATGGATGGTAAACTGTTTAAATAGACCATTTTACCGCTACTGATGAAGTGAACTATCCATGTCACTTGATTACGCTGCGGTGTAATTAGTCAGTTTGGCCGCCAAAAAATGTCCCTGGCTGGAAATGAGACCAAACGTTTGTTAATTAGCAAACGCAAATACACACGTGAGTTTGCCTGCTGCATGTGTGACATAAATCGAACTGACGGATGGCTCAACTGGGCCGTGAAAAGTGGGCTGACAACGAGGTGGGCGTCCGGTTGCCCCCCTGACATGCACATGGCCAAAATGCACAGCTCGACAGAATGTCAGCCAGCCGAGCTTCGTTTTCCCCGTTCCCTTTTCCCCTTCCCGCCTTTGTCTAGGTGCGGAAATGTGTCGAACTCTCTGCCATGTTGCGATACGACAAAATTGGGTCGCATTTCAAAAAATTTTCGACTCATGCTGGCCACTGTGATGCGGGGGCGACAGTGTTGGCGAAACTATCGCAAAAGTCTACAAAAACAAAGCTTAACAAGAAAGGAAGCTAGCTTCGGCCAGCCGAAGCTTATATACCCTTGCAGATCATTCCTATTAATTAACAAATCGCAAAAATGTTCAATTTTCTAATATTTCTCATTAATTTTCCGATCGTTCCTATGGCAGCTATATGATATAGTAGTCCGATTTTGATCAAATTAAAATTGAAATTCGGAAATATTTAAAAAGAGTCGTATCCTAGAGTAGAAGATAATACAATAAAAACCAAAGAAGCTAGAATTTATTTCCTATTACTTTTCCATTAATTTTCCGATCGTTCCTATGGCAGCTATATGATATAGTAGTCCGATTTTGATCAAATTAAAATTGAAATTCGGAAATATTTAAAAAGAGTCGTATCCTAGAGTAGAAGATAATACAATAAAAACCAAAGAAGCTAGAATTTATTTCCTATTACTTTTCCATTAATTTTCCGATCGTTCCTATGGCAGCTATATGATATAGTAGTCCGATTTTTTAAAAAATTTATTCGAAATTCAGAAATATTTAAAAAATAACATCCCCAAAAGTAGAAGGTAATATTTCAAAAAACACCGAAGCTAGAATTTTTTAAAGTTTTTTTTTCCGATTGTTCCTATGGGAGCTATAAGATATAGTTGTCCGATCCGGTCGGCTCCGACATATATACTACCTGCAATAAAAAGAAGACTTTTGCGAAAGTTTTGTCCCGATAGCTCAAAAACTGAGAGACTAGTTTGCGTAGAAACAGACAGACGGACAGACGGACAGACGGACAGACGGACAGACGGACAGACGGACATGGCTAGATCGACTCGTCTTGTGATGCTGATCAAGAATATATATACTTTATGGGGTCGGAAACGTCTCCTTCACTGCGTTGCAAACTTCTGACTGAAATCATAATACCCTCTGCAAGGGTATAAAAATACTGCAAATGTTAGAGTTGTTGACCAAAGTTTCATTTTAATTAGTTACTTCGAACTTAAAGTGTGATTTTTCAGCAGCTTGCTTTAATATTTCTCTCCACGTTAATTACAAACTAAATTTCATTACCTTTTTTTTTGTAAATATCCCTTTTTAATACAAACCACTAAAACTTTTTTACAAATCAATTAAATGCCATATATTTATTTAAAAAAATTTTAATATCCACCAAAAAAAAAACCCAAATCATTTTCAAACATTTCCAAGTCGAAAAAGTGGCCAAAATGACAACACAAACATGGAAGACGATAAAGTGCGCAGCTTGCATATTTCTCGACGAATCTCTATGCTGGTGTGTGTGTCTCGTTATGTGATTGTATCTGTGTGACTTTGCGTTGACATTTCAACTTTGCCCCGACCAGGCTAATGCAATGAAAACTTGCAGTTGCCTTAGTTTTTGGTTTTTTTTGTATGCTTGCCGGACTTTTTCCCGGTGACTTAAAGTGGGGAGATGCCAGATGAAGCCGAAATTGCAATTAGACGTACACAGTTTCATAATCGGAGTTCGACAAACTGGAGTCCGGCAAACCGGCAAACCAACGGAGGCTATAATGTCCAGCCGCTGGCTATTCGCAATCAGAATTTATGCTGACTTCAAAGAGCTGATGTCGCAAAAATAAAGCCTTGCATAGCTCAAGGCGCCGCAAAGTTATCCTTCAAAGGCTCACAGTGAAAACTGGTGCAAATGGCCCAATAAGAGACAGAAAAGAAATTTGTTTTTGGGGTTAGGATAAAAAATGTATTATACTTTGAGTGAATCGGAAATAAGGAATTAAAATGGAATTATTTTCTTTGTTCCGGACAGAATACTGTTTATTTGGAGGAAAATTGGCATTTAAATGATGGCCAAATCAGAAAGTTTTTGTATCTTTTTAAATGTTTTGTTAGTGAATGTTCTGAATATTAATGATAGTTTTTCGTGTTTTAACATTTATAAATTTAAGTATTTAAAGTTTTACTTAACCAAATAAAATATTTTATATATACTTTAATCATATTTATTCGCACGTGCTAAATCTAAATTAATTGTTTCCATAAATATTTTAGCAAATCGTTCTACTGTGTAGCATCAGTGAATCGGAATTAAAGTCTTCCGATAAAGTTGCCTTAAAGAGCTGCCAGTTGGTGGTATATTGAATCTGGGGGAGCTTCAAGTTTCCTGATGCCCAAAAATAGCCCAACCTCGAGTTGCGTTCGTATTGTAAAAGTTTCCTCCTTTTTTCGGGGGCGCTCTGCCATTTTTATTTGAGTTTTCACTTACCTGGCGCTTAAGTGTTTCTTCTACCAGGCCATTTGCCATTTGTTTCGTCGATGTGAAAAGTTTTTGCGAGAGACTTGTGTGCGGGCTACTTTTATGATTATTGCCAGCCTGCCAGCTCAACCTTGGCGAGAAAGTATCTTCTCGGGAAAGTATCTCGTATCTGTGCGCTGTGAGCCTATGGCATACTTAAGCCTTAATGTTAATTTTAAGCAGTTTGCCCATAAGCTTTTGATTTAGGGCTGCTACAAGGCCGGGCTGTTGCAAGGGATCCCTTTTCTTTCGCTACAGCTCCGGACTTCTTGGCGTGCTGCCATGCCGCAAAGTACACACCAGACATGGACGTGGACATGGCAGAACATTGCAGCTCCGATTGCAATTGCAATTGCCACAACCACCCCCAATCCCTAACCATAGCCACCAGACCATGTGCAGCTGTTGCCCGTGTGGAAGTGCACTTCACTTTGTCTAATTGTAAAATAAATAAATGAGATAAAAACGCAAAGTGGCAGGGGCGTGTAAAAAATGCAAAGGGAAATGAAAAATTGCGCTCGAGTTGTGTTCTCCCGCAGAACCGGATACACTGCGGGAAATAACGTAGAATTATGAGTGAAATGGAATGTTTGGGATCTAAGAATTTATACTATTTATACCCAGTGAAAAACAGTTATTAAATTGTTCTTAATATTTTTGATGGATAGATGGTATAAATTTATTTAAAATAACAATGAAATTACTATTTGAAGAATACTTATTTCTTAAATAAATATAATCTTTTCTCTAGAGATGACATTAAAATTAAATTTTAAAAAGTGAGAGTATCCAACATTGAGAATATTTTGCTTCAGGTGTTTTCTACTGCTGCTGCTTAGACTCATGAGTCCTGAAGGCAGGGCTCCGTGGGGAGGGCTGTCGAAAATAATAAATCAAAGTGACACATTGAGAATGCAAAGGCCCGGGCCCACACCTCCACTTCTCCCTTTCTCCTCACCTTCCCTCCCTTCTTCTTTTTTTTTTTTGCCTTTGCCCCACCTGGCCAAAAGACAAAGCGAGCGGAGCTTTCAATTTCAACGCTCCACAACGCCAAGACTGACGTTTGACAGACACAAGACGCTGCAGCAGCAAGGAGTGCACCTTTGGAATAAAAAGGGAAAAATGTGGAAAAAAGGAAGAAATATGTGGAGCGGGTGCAGACACTTTACTTTGCGGGGAGCGCCGCCTGGCATCAACATCAACCCTTCCGTCATTGTCAGACGAAGGCGGGCAAAGTTGTTCAAGTACTTTGCGGATAAAATAGCTGGCTGTCGCAATTTAGATAAATTTTAATTTTAATAAAGTGTTTGCTCTGCTCTTCTCGGCCACTCGAGCGGATACTCTCGGCATTATGAATTAATTATCGCAACAGTCGTTCTCCGGCTTTGGTTGCGATATTTTGCATTTTCGAGGAGCGCGCAGACGGTCGGGTTTCGGCGGTATGTCGTAGAAGAGCCCCTGCACTTGGCGTATGGTCTTGGAGGCCATGCCCTCCTCGATTGCCTCCGTGATAACCTTAAAACAGACTTCACCCGGAAATCCCGTCTTCCGCGTCACAAAGGTGGCCAGATCGCCCAGGGAGGTGCCTGCGTTTGCATCCCGCAATCCCGCCAGGATGAGCTCCTGGGGCGAGTTAATCGTGCGATCGTAGTATATGAGAGGCATGTGAATCGAATTTAAAAAAAAACCAAATGATATATGAATCAATACAATTATTTACCAGCACACTTGGCAAGAAAACTTTTGGGGTTTGCCTTGGAAAAAGCTAGGTGTCTAAAAGTATGCAGTGAATAAAATATAGCCGCCTTCTTGTATAAATTCATATCACTTTTGGACTAAAAATATATTGTTGCTTATTATTAGACATATACTTTAACATTTTTTTCTGTGTAAATAAAAGATTGGTTAATAAACTTAAAGCTTTGTATTTTTTGTAGCTTTATTTTTTGTCAAAAACCTGTTCCCTACTTTATTTTTGGTTTTGGATTTTCCCTGGTGACTAAAGCCATCATCTTGTCTTGCCGTTGGCCATCTTCAGGGAATCGAAATCACAAGCTTGCCACATGATGCGTTAAGTTGCTAACGCGCTGCTTTTTTGGCCCCAACAGCGACAGCTCTCAACCCCTTGGCGGCCCCAGAACTCCCACCCTTTTTCCACACATGCCTCTGCACGCAGACGTTGCCTGTCAAATTAACGCCGCATTTTATGCGCCCCGTGGCGCCCTGACTTTACTTTTTTCGGCTTCCGTTAAATTGAAATTAAAGCAGCCGGCTATAGTTTGGCTTAACTGGCTACAAGCCGGGCGATTTACAGACTCAATAATACATCGGTGGCGAATGCCAAAAAGTTCAAAAGGCGGCCAAAACTTTTGCATTTCTTTCTCCGCTTCCCAGGGCGAACAATTTGAATGAAGCGCGCAAATTGAATAAAAGGCCATTGCCGCAGTTCAAGCTGAAAAACTGCTGGCTGTGATAAAATCATCAGTTTCCATCCAGCGGCTCCTTCTTTTTTTCCTCCACAAGTTTTTTACGGTCCAGTCTACGTGGAATGAGCCGGATTGGCTATGCTGGTAATAAATTTTTATTGCACGAACGAATTCAATAAAATGGGCCAAGGAGGAAGAATAGAGCTAGAGATGAAATCGCACGACTTTTGTACTTCTTAATTAAATAATTTCGCTCTTGTAAGGCTATGAAGATATTTGCTCTTCGCTGGAGGTACAAATAATTCTAAGAAGAAGCCAACAAATAGAATTACTTGCACCAGCTTAATCGGGAATTAATATGGAGATTTAATTCAAAAGCAACAATAAAAAATGCAAATAAATAGAGAAAAATTAAATTATTTTTTTAAAAAATCTACTTTGCAATTACTTATTAGAAATTAATCCGGCAACAGTTTACAAAAACAAAATATTTAAAAAAAAAAATAAATTATTTATTTAAAAGTAAAATAATTTTTAGAAAATCTACTTAGTTTTTACTTATAAATGTTTAATTTTGCGAAATGAAAATTCAATGGCCACTTATACGAAACAAGCACTGAGTGCAAATGGGCTAACAGAACATCAATAATTTAATTAAGAAATTAAATCCTTGCATATTTTTATTCGCATTCGTTTTTATTAATTTATTCGTTGCATTAGTGAGAAATTCGGGCAGCTTAGAAAAGCGCTTTGTTGTTGATTACCGGCAATTATCCAATCAGCCACGTTTGAGTTCCATTTGCATAACCCGATCTCGCCGTACTATTCATATCGATATGCGGCAAGTATTAAATGCAATTTATGCAAATTCCGGCAAACATTTGCTCTAAGCTAAAAATGGCCACTGCGACGGCAGGGGCGTGGCCACAGTGGGAATTACATTAAATCAAAATTGAATGCATTCGGAAAACTCAAAAAGGATGGGAGTAAGCGAGTGTGTGTGTGTGTGAATTGAATTTAATTTTATGCATTTGCTGTATCAACGCATAAATTATGATAAAAGGCATAAAATATGCATGCTGGGGGTTGAGTGAGCCAGAGCGGAAGTCCGAGTAAATTATGCTGATGGCGGAGAACGGAAATGCGAGGAATAGAATGGAATAAATACTATCTGGGGGATGCGAACGAACCGGACCTTTCCTCATCCCAAATTTATGCTGGAATCATGTCAAAGATCAGACCGACACAGATGCTCACTGAATTAGCCAGCGCAAATATTTATGACCGTCCCAAAGGCAGAATGCTGCGAACACTTTACGTAAATGTTTGCCAGCCACCTGTTCGCAGTTGTCAGCCCGGAATGCAGCAAAAAGGTGGAAAAAAGGTGCAGATTGTAGGAAAAAGCAGCTAATCCGACTGAGCGCCAATTTGGGACACATGTAGACAGTTTGTGCAGTTGGCAGTTGGCAGTAGCTGGCTTTCCGCCGCTCCCCGTTTGCCTTTGAAACTCATTTGGCGCAAAGCTGACAAGTCCCGGACGGATTGGATAGTCCGCCGCCCGTCGTTCAATTAGCAGACGGTCACAGGACATTCCCCTGGCTGTCTGTCTTTTATTAATATGTCCTGGGCCTGTTGGCCTGCTGGCCTCTCTAGAAATAAAACAAGAAATATTCAAGCCAGTGTGTCGAATGTGGGATACCTTGTAGTTGCTTATACAAAACTTAACTATGAAATCTGAATTTTTCAGTTCAGAACATTTCTCTTCAATAAATATAAAATTCTGTTTCTTCCACTTTTAAAGAACTTTTTTCTAAATTCTTATTCATAGTACCTACTTAATTCATTTCTGTTTCACCCCAAATACCAAGTATAAAAAGAAGACCGCTGTAAGAAAGCAAGGAGTGAAGGCACAAGCGAAATGCAAACTAATTGAAAACACTTCAAAGGACATCAATATCAAAAGCATAGACGTTGACAGAGGGAAGAAGGGAGATAGTCAACCCGTCCTTCAGTCATCCGGCAAATGTCAACCGAACAAAGCGAAAAATTGTCTCCAGTCCGCAGAATGTACAAAAAAAAGGGACAGGACATTCTCAGGACGAGCGGCAGGACTCGCCTTGACCAGACACAATCAAATCAGAGCTATGCCAAAATTAAAAATATTTCCACACAGCAGATCACTCACTGCCTTTCCTCGGCCCAAAAACGTAATGTAAAATATATAAAAGAGGGGACAAAAAAATAGCACCTTTCATTAAATTGGAAAATATTAGCGTACTCTCCAATTAAATGGTTTAATAATGAACAACAACTATGGGAATATTATTATGTTTTATAGTTTACAAAAATTAACCTTTTAAAAAGCTTGTTATTTTCCGAACTTACTATTTTTACCTCCATTGCAGGGACATATGAAATTCGGCAGTTGTGCAAACGATTGTCTAGTTTCCATTTCAGGTGGTGGCCAATGGCCAGGCACGACCCCTGGCAACAATAAGTGGATAAAATCCTTTTCATTTTCCCTCAGTGTGTCCGGCTTGCTACAAAATCAATTTACAACGGAAGCTTACTTACATAACCCCCCGAGACACATAATCCTGTTTATACGAGTGTGTGCCCGTGTCTAGATGATTCCCGCCCACCCAATCGCCAGTGCATATTGGGGCTGTCTTTGGTTTGCTCCTGTGTTTTCCTTTGGCATTTCACAAAATATCACAGGTAACTGTCTCTGTGTCTCTGCCCCTGGACAATGTCAGCACATCCTTTCGTTCAACTTTGCCGTTGCTGTGGTCGGAACTTTTGCATATCGGTCACATTGTCCTCGGGGGCGGCACGTGTCCTGCCCTCTCTACGAATCGTATTTTCCCAGATTCCTCTAACATCCTTCCATATTCCATATTCCAAGCTCCATAGTCCTTCGCTTTGTGTGTGTATGCGCAAAGGCTTCGATTGCAGTTTATAATACGGTTATGCCTGCAAGCATTTATTTGCCTTAGTTAGATTTTGTTTGTTGTGAAAATTTCATAAATATTTACGTGCTGTCAGCTGCAGTTTCACTTATTGTTTGTGTCCCTTTAATGCCTAACTGAATAAAAATCCCATTCGTGAGAGAGTGTGTGCGTTGAAAGTAGATTTTCCTGTGCATTAAGGCACTTAATTACGGCTCCCTGCTGGGACAACGATGCGTATACGCAATATATTCGAACATTTCGTCGTGTGATTTGCATGCTATCGAGGCCAAAAGGATTAATGAATATCGACAGATGTCCGAAGGGAATTATTTGCATATCGACAAAAGCAGCTTAAATGTATCTTAATTTTTATTTTGAAAATCAATTTGTATTAACTTTGTGCACTTACTTAAGCTGCAAATGCAAATGGTTAGTGATTATTATTTTCCTTCGATAGTGCCTACATTTTCGTTGGTGATTTCAAAAAGCTTAGTAAAACTGAAAATGTATATTAAGGCTTCTGGTAAAGGATTTTGCAAACGTAATCATTAAACTGTGCTTTATATATTGCAATACCCTAAGTGTAAGCATTAGGGATTTTTTTGTTTCAACCTTCCATAAACAGGTATAATATAGAATTTAATATAGGGAAAACTACTAGAATAGTTTTAAAAAATTTTAAAAAGTTTATTTAATTACCTGGGTAAGCATTTTGTGACTCTACTTTTTTACCTCGTTAAGAAGTGTTTTAATTGATAATATAATACATTTCAGAACTTGGATTTGGACTTGGTAAGTAATGGTAAAGAAAAGCATATTACAAATTCACCATATAAATATTAGAGCTGGCCCTAGGATAAGTAAAATCAATGCATTAGTCAAGCCTCTTAAAAGCCAAAAAGGCTGCCAAACTTTTATGGCTTAACGAAACTTAAGTGCTGGCCAAAGAGGGAAAAATCAAATTTTTAAATCAAATGAGAGCTGGCAAAATGCATTTCCAATGCAAATAGCAGAGCGAGCAACTTTGATTTGAGTTTCAATGTAAACCGAAGCTCATAAGTTGAATATGCAGAATGATTATGTCTCCCTGCCTGCACTGAAGTAGATTAAAGACACCCAAAAGCCACTCAGAGTCAACTGGAGGACTTGGTGAGCTGGGTGAGTGAATAAAGTCGGATGGGCACTCGAAAAGTTTTTTAAAGTTTGTGCGCAACAATGAGATCCTCGTGCAGCTGCAGCTCCTTTTGGTCCTTTGCTCCTTTGCTCCTTTCTCTGCTGCTGCACCTTTTA